CTTTTTAATCATGAATTGAACCTAACCCCTCATTTTAAAATTTATGCATCTTATATATTCCCTTTCGTAGCCATATATATATATATATATATGCATATTAAAAAAATTGCACATTTTCCTACTTCTCGTTGACCGAGAAGGAAGTGCGTAAACAATCACAGATCTCTACAGTGCCAACCTTTATTTTGTAAGAAAATGGACCAAATTAAAGAGAGAAAATGATTGATTATCAGAAACAAAAGCCCCCAATGAATTATCTCTAGAGGTTGGCAAAATTTTACCTGTAAATTTTTATACGACTAAATGTACTAGTCAAATCAATAAATAAAAAAACAAATTAAAAGTTATAGTACCTCAAATGAATCAACAATACCAGCTTTTACTTTTCTTTTCTTTGTTATATGTTTTTTTTTTTTTTGCTGATCCTTTGTTATATGATTTTGATATATGTATATATGTAGTAGTACTAGCATCATAACTTTTAGTTCCCTACAGTGACGATGGTCAATATTGACTTTACAAATTAACTGGTGAGAAGTCACACTAAATGGATAACATCGACAGCAACAACAGGTCAAGTCTACACCCACATCACATAATACGCATATTATATATGTATATATATATATATATATACACACATACAAAATGAATAGTGGTTGATATATTGTATGGGCAAAACAACTACTAGCATTACTCTAAATTTGTTAACCCTACATATTCTTAGGCAACATGCTATCCATTGATTCCCTCTCAAACTGCTCTCGCACTTTTTTTTTTTTTTTTTTTTTTTTTTTTTTTTTTTGGACAAACAGCGTGGAATTTAGCAAATAATATTGAAGCAAGCCTCTCCTACAAAATTATAAATATACATGTTGTAAAAGTTATAGTAGCAAAATAATAATAATTATAATTATATAATGATGTGATAACAATATAATAATATATTGCAAAAGGCACCGCCAATCCCACTTCCCGATAGCCATGAGTAAACTTTCTGCTTATTAGTGAAGTTGGCAAAAACTGAGATATTGTATAAATTCCAGCAAATATATTGCCTAGCTAACTACGATTAAACTTCTACGAAGCCAGTGATATTCTCATGATTTGATCGCCTTTCTCGAACTTTTGTTTACGCGTGACCGAAGCTCATTATACAAAACCAAAAGTTCTCGTTTACATTTATGTACAATTAATTATTGTTATTCTAAGTTTGAGCAATATTAATATTATGCTACCGGAAAAAGTTGTGCATATATTATAATTCAAGCGCTTGCTTCTTAGCAAGTACTATCGCCGACCCACAGAAAGCTAGCAATATCGATGAAAGCCCTAGGATATTCTTTGCTATAATTTAAGGAAATAGGGAATATTATATGTTATATATATATATATATATGTATACTATATAGAAAACAATTCCAACCTCATCCTTAAAGTAGAAAGCTCCCACATAAGAGTTCCCAAGCTGGCAGTGGAACTTTGCAAGGCTGGTATTTATTGGAAACTATAGGGATAACAAAAAAACATATATATCTCTATCAAATCAAATCATGCATGGGGTATATAACTCTAATATCTTGTAGTACTACTCTCTCTCATTATATATATCCCTTTTGTTATGTTGCATTTGGGCGTTTGTTTTTTGTTGTTTTTAAAGGAAAGAGATGGGCTAGCTTCGAACGAGTACTATAGAGAGTTATAAAGCTGGAATCATGATACTCTAGACTCATTTGATCTAAGAGAGAATAAAATTAATTTATTTAAATAAATATATAGCAAAATAAACCTTAGAAACGCCAAGCTCATAGCTACCAATCTTTTCATGAAAAGCAGTGACTCCATGGGATTCAAGGTTTCATGCACATGCTTCCCTCTCTCCTCCCTATGAATATTTTTCCCACTAGTCGAATCCCCCAAGTGGAGTGGGTGGGACATACAATGCATGGTTTTTCCTAACTCAAAAAAAAAAAAAAAAATTTCCCTTCCAAATTTATAAAAAAATAAAAAAAATAAATAAAAATCTTCACCAAAGTTAATTATGATATGTACTTTGACAGGCCTAAGCTAGCTACATCAATCACCAAAGTACAAATTAATTATATATAAACCTAGATATCCTAATTCCATAATGATATCCATTTTACTGATAAAGTTTGTGTGTCAAAGCATGAAATCCACACACTCGTGAGGACGCGTGTCGGTCGGGGACTGTTCGATGACACAACAAAAGCTGCATGTATCGTTTCTCCAACTTCCACGTAATATGAACGAACCTCTAGGTTTTGTTGAATAAATTCAAGTTAAGATATATATATATATATATATATATATAAATAGTTCAGATTCATGCCCTAAAGTGGCATGCTTGTGGTTCATTTTACTTGGGCATGCATTAGAGTTCCCTCCAATGACTTGGAGGAAAGTACAATATATTCTTTATTGAGTGAACTGTATATGTAGTATGTACTGAGCTTTCTGCCTATAAATTAGGTTTCCACAATTCAATTCTTTATTAGTCGATTTCTAGAATGTTAATTATAGTTCATACCCGAAGGCCTTCTACCAAAGCAGTTCAACATATAAATATATATATATATATATATTATCAAATATCACATCATGTCCGTTAACAAAAATATCTTCTCTAAAATATACATTAAATTTTGTTACAATTAGGGCCGGCAATATGGGTCACGATACGACGACACGACTCGAAAACGACACGAATTTTAGGGGTTAGGGTTGAGAAAAAAGAGGTTCGGGTCAGAATTGGATCGACCTGAAATTGACACGAAAAATACTGGTCAATTTCGGGTTGGACCCGCCTAACCCGAACACGACACGAAACTCGTAAAAAACTAAAAAATACATATATTTTTCATTACATATTTTAAATTTTATTATGAACTTGTGATATTATGATAGTTATACTCAAAATCTTATACTATTATTTGCTTAATTTCAATGGATGTTATTGTAATTTAGTGTGTTATGAATTTTAAGTTATTTCTAATATGTAAAAAATTAAATAAAAGTATACAATTTTCGTGTCAATTTCAGATTCACGGGTCAATTTCGTGTCACGGGTCATTTTCGGGTCGTGTCGTGTCAACTCGTAAAGTGGTCGTGTCGTGTTCGTGTTGCGGTTTTTAAAAAATTTCGTGTCACGGGTCGTGTTCGGGTTGACTGTAAATTTTTAAAAAACGATCAAAACACGACACGTGACACAAATTGTCACCCCTAATTACAATGGTATTGGCCTCATTGGATTAGGTTAATCTCAGAGAATTTAAAATGTACTTTCTTTTTGCCTTCCCACTTGACCTTATTCACACATGCATTAACATTCTTAAGCAAATTACATGTATAATTCTCTTTTATCGCTTAGGAATTTGATTTTGCATGAGGAGACGTATGTATAAACCACAATTGTGAAATAAACGTCTTGTATAAACGAAAGGAAATAGAAGATGTACGGGATAGATTTTTTTTTTTTTAAGAGTTTGGTTGGAAGGTAGAAAGCAGTGCACATAGTGGAAATGGAAGAAGCTAGCCAAACTAATGTTGCATATTTAGAGTAAGAATTCGTATCATAATTTAGATCATAATTCATTATTTATTATAATATTTTTTCTAAAAAAATATACATAAATTGAAAATAATTATGAATTATGATTTAAAATTTATAAACCAAACGTTTAAAAAAATAAAAAAGGACATTTAGGTGTGGGGCCTACGCGGGTGCTAGCGTGGTGTGGAAAGATGGTTGGCGGAATGGGCTTTGTGGGCCGGAAACAGCCTTACAAGTCGCAATCCCAATGCTTGGAGGGTTGTGGGGGTCCAAGATGATGACGTAAGGCCCCTATTGCAAATTGGCTCGTCCAACTCCACGTGGGCACATTTGGTCTCACATCCTACTCAGCACTCCTTCCCTGCCACCTAGTCATCGACTTAAAAAGATTTTTCTAAAATAATAAAAATTCCATGGGCTTTCAGTATTTTCGTGGGCCCAATAGAATCAGATGAGGATGGCATGTCGTTTTCATGGCTCCCCTAATTCTCCCCTTTTAAATCCCGTGAAGTCATTAATAATTAATAAGAAATATGTCAATATAAAAAGTTTAAAAAAATATATAGGTCAATTTTTAATTATAGAAATTAATAAATCATAATTTGTCAAGTTATAGTTTATAACCAGATAAGTTATGGATAAACTTGTTAAGTTATGGTTCATAGCCAAACAAATTACGGATAAAAACTGAGAATAGCTTGTCAAGTTATGGTTCATAACCAGACAAGTTATGGACGAAAACAGTAATTTAACCTATTTATTAACTTATGTATACTATTGGTCTATTAATTTTAATTCATCTCAAATCTTGACTTATTTTTTTCTTTCTCCCTTAATAATTGATAATATCTAATTATCCACATTCTAAAAGTACCCATAGTTCCTCAAACCACTGAAATTGCCTCTTCTAACCGGACAGTTTAGTGGTAAAATTAAATTCACTATTCCAACCCTTGTCTCCCCAAGTAATGGAATGCGTACTCTTAACACAACATTACATGTAATTATATTTCTCAAAAACAGAAAGCAACCACAAACTTTAATTAGATATCCCTCCCCTTAATCGCTAATCCTTCCCAAGAAAAGAGTAAATCGCCCCCACGCTAATCCTTCTCCCCATTATTTTAATGAAAAAGTATAGTGTCGTATAAGATCTAATAAATAAAAGGCTTCGAAAATATTGTTGAGCATTATTATTTTATTGTCAAAGAATGTGACCACAAGCTTATGATTTGGAAAGAATAACGCTCTCACGCGCATTAACTCCCCACTCTCATCACATGCACATCTCTTGCCCAACACCCTATTTAAGCACCCTCTTCCCCACCCTTCCTGTTCATTCAAACCAACAACAACAAGAGAACTACTACTACTACTCAATCATCAAAACACAAAAAAAAAAAAAAAAAAAAAAAATCTCAAAAACTCTCTTTCTCATCATTTCAAACTCACACAAACAAAAAAGAGCAAAAGCTTCTCTACTACTACTACTTCTAGTCAACCATACAATAGCCAAAAAAACACAAAAAAAGAAAGAAAAAAAAAATGGAGAATATTTTTCGCCTTGTTGACAACCAAGACTTCTTCAATCGGCGGTGCGTGCTGATCAACGGCCCGATAATCGTCGGCGCGGGGCCATCGGGGCTCGCCACGGCGGCGTGCCTTAAGGAGCAAGGCGTGCCGTTTGTGGTCCTAGAGAAAGCGGATTGCATTGCCTCGTTGTGGCAAAAAAGGACCTACGACAGGCTGAAACTCCACCTCCCAAAACAATTCTGCCAACTTCCCAAAATGCCCTTCCCCGAGGACTTCCCCGAGTACCCAACCAAGAAACAGTTCATCCAATACCTCGAGTCCTACGCCGCCCGCTTCGACATCAAGCCCCAGTTCAACGAGTGCGTCCAATCCGCTAGGTTCGACGAGACCAGCGGGTTCTGGCGGGTAAAAACTGTGTCCTATGGTAAACCCGACGCCGAGTACATCTGCAGGTGGCTTATTGTAGCCACCGGCGAGAATGCAGAGTGCGTTATTCCGGATATCGAGGGCCTCGGGGACTTCGCTGGCGACGTAGTCCACGCCTCCGAGTACAAGTCCGGCGAGAAATTCAGGGGAAAGAAAGTCCTCGTCGTCGGATGCGGGAATTCCGGCATGGAACTCTCTCTTGACCTCTGCAACCACAATGCCTCGCCTTCCATGGTCGTTCGGAGCTCGGTAAGTATTGAAAACAGTGCTTTAAAAAAAGAAAATTCATGTTTTTTTTTTTTCTTTTCTTTTTTTCAATGGAGTTTAATCTAATATGTTTTTCAATACAGGTTCATGTTTTGCCTCGTGAAGTATTCGGAAAATCGACATTCGAATTGGCGGTTTTGATGATGGCGTGGTTGCCGCTATGGCTGGTGGACAAGATCATGTTGTTTCTGTCATGGTTGGTGCTCGGAAGCATCGAGAGGTACGGGCTAAAAAGGCCCGCCATGGGACCTCTGGAGGTCAAGAACAAGATGGGAAAAACCCCTGTTTTGGACATTGGAGCATTGGAGAAGATCAAATCCGGAGACATTAACGTTGTCCCCGGAATCAAGAGGTTCTCCAAGAACCAAGTCGAGCTCGTCAATGGCGAAAAACTCGACATCGACTCGGTCATTCTCGCCACTGGTTACCGCAGCAATGTCCCATATTGGCTTCAGGTGAGAAAATGTTCTGTTTTGACTTTTAAGAAAAAAGGAAAAAAAAAGTTTATATTTTCGAAGGTTCTTTTTTTTTTTTTTTTTTCTTTTCTTTTTCAAATGGGAAGTGGACAAAATGGGCTAATGTTTGTTTTGGCATTTTTTGAAACAGGAAGGTGTATTCTTTTCGAAGAATGGGTATCCGAAAGCGCCGTTCCCACAAGGTTGGAAAGGAAATGCTGGTCTTTATGCGGTTGGGTTCACAAGGAGAGGGCTATCTGGTGCGTCCGCTGACGCCGTGAGAATAGCACAAGACATTGGCAAGGTCTGGAAACAGGAAACCAGGCAGCAAAAGAAGAGAACCACGGCTTGCCATAGAAGATGCATTTCTCAGTTCTAAACGAACGCCCAAAAAAAAAATAACTTTTTTAACCAACCACTTGTTAGTTTGTTTTAGTTTAAAAGGAAATACTGTACATTACACACAAAAAAAAAAAACAAAAAGAAAGAACACAGATAGCACAGCAGAGATAGCCCTCTCCGAAGGCCCAAAGTTCCTTTTTTTTGTTTTTTGTTTTTTTTGTTCTTTTTTTTTTGTTTTTTTACTATAGTGTTTGGGCATTTTGTAAGCTGAGGATGATGAGGCCTTTTCTTTTCTTTTCTGTTCTTTTCTCTCTTTTTTTTTTCCCCTTCTCTTGGAGCTTCATACAGCTTTTGTAGTTTGTACTATAATTCAAGAATTCAATCAAAGTTCAAATGTTTTCTCATATTTTTTTGGTCTACACTCTTCATACTACAAACAAAGATGGCTTAAAATTGCTTTTATATTTGTAGGGTTTTTTTCTTTTTTCTTTTTTTTTTTTTTGCCCTTTTGTAAACCATATATTGGAGACCAAAGTGAATTAAGGGTGAGTACTGATTCAATGTTTTCAGATTTGGCAAGTTGGCCATAAATCATACAATGATCAGATGGGTAGGCCCCATCAAAAAAACGACAATGAAAACCAACTCTACATAGCCCACCAGGCCGCCACCTTTGCTAATTACTATTCCTCTCTCTCTCTCTTGAAGAATAGTTCCAAGATGGCTGTACACATTACATTATTATCAATATTCTCTTTTGTAAATGTATGTATCATTATTAACTTGAGGTTGACCAACTTAAATAAATTAAAACATATTAATAAGTCTATGTTGCCTCCCCCTCTCACATGGAGAGAGAGAGAGAGAGGCATTAATCGCCCCTTGATGAATCTTCCCTGGAGATTAGCATTATTGGGAAAAACCTATATACAGTTCAGTAGTTCAAATTTCAAGGCTTCTAAAATTAAAATTTAGTCACGCGAGATTGAATGTTTTCAAACCCATTTTTAATTAAGTGAAGCAAAGCTCTTCTTCTGATTCGAAAAGTACCTACTATAATAAAAACAAACAAATAAATAAATAAAGAGAACAAATTTAATCAGTTAAGAATGGCGTCGCCATGATTCGAACTAGAGACCTTCAATGTGTTAGATTGACGTGATAACCAACTACACCACAACACCAAACTTGGCATGTTTGTTCTGCCTGTAAGACTTAGTACTATAAATACGATAACCTGAGCCCCATGAAACCGGCATTCAATCATTTTAGAAGAGTATTTGGGAAAGATGATGGCTAAACTTTTTAAAATTGACAAGTTATTCTCTAAGGCTTCGTTGATTTCTCAAATTCTAGTTTTTAGTTCTAAGTTTTTACAGTTAAAAGCTCTTAAAAAATGTCACATCTAACTTTTTTTTGCTATAATTAAAAGCTCTCAAAAAATGTCACATCTCAACTCAAATTAAAAACTCAAATCCGCAAAGCGAACAAGACCTAAACTTTAAATTTTAGTGAATCGCTCCCAAAATTTAACAAAATATTGTAGAGTGTGTGAAGACGCTTTCTTCTAAGTTTTATCTTGATTTAGTAATACTCTAACGTCATTTTATTAACATTTTATACGCTCGAATTCATCATTATTGAAATTATAAGAGCAACTTCCGAGTTCTGTCAAAGTTCAGTGGGGGCAAAAGCGCTAAAATAGAAGTTTTGAAAGGCATGCATCGGAGTAACAGCAACATATGCATGTAGCGTGTAGTGCTAATCAGTGATAAGGGAATCTATTTCTTCTTCCTTTAGAATTTTGGTTATGTGAACTGTACTTTGCCTCACTTCTTTTTTCGCGACAAAATTGTAATTAGCTGGAATTTTATTAGCCCTATCTTCCCAAGAGTGATAAGGGTGTGTAGTCCTAATGAGTTCAACAAGTACTCTCCACAGTTGTCAGAAACTCCCCAACTCCTTTCGTCCACAAAAAAAAAAAAAAAAAACATTGTACAAAAATCCCAACATTTGGAATTCATACCATAAACGGATATAAAAGAAGCCTTGTTACAGAGTCTATACGAAAGATGTTAACGCAATAATGAAAAAGATGATCAGCATGTGACTCATTCAAAGACTCGAATGAATCCACGAAGATTGGAGGGCATGCAATGCAATCTCAAAGTGAATACCGCCAAATTAAGGGCTAATTATATGAATCATTTTTGTGCTTTGTACCCTACAAAGAGCGACATTGATGGAGACTTGGAGAAGACAGATATTATGTAGCCGTTGTTGTAATACCGTCTTTCTTAGCATTATTTATACAAAAGTACTAACTCAAAATGCCTAACCTTACCAAGACATGAACCATCACTAACACCGTCTAATGGGACCTAAGTAGGCCAAAATTGATCAAAACCATTAAAAGCCTAGAAAACAGCCCACATGATTTTATCCAGTACCACTGACTGATGATTCGAAAGTAACAAAAAGGGTTTTGTTTCTCTTTTTTTTTTTTTTTTTTTTTTCCCAACCCAATTGGTCAGTCACATCTAAAGTCAAACTTTCCAGACCACAAACCTCAAATCTGTTTTTCCCCTGATTGTAAACAAGACTAAACTTGATCGATATTTAACTTCTGATCATCTAGCAGTATAGCTTTCTTTTGTCCTTTTCTCTTTAGTGCTTTTTTTTTTTTTTTCTTGTTTGAGGTTTCCATCTTCTTCTATTTGGAGACATTTACTGCTAATAAAAAAAGAACACATGGGAGGGTCACCATACTTCCTTGCCAACAATCCCATCAGAAGGGCCCATTTTTCTCAAACTAACACAAACTATTGCAGTATGCAAAAAACTGGAGTTCGTTTCTTCACATGCTTGTGTCGACTCAAAGATTGTGTTGAGAAGGTCCTATATATGTGTATTTTGTTGGGAAAACAGGTGTATGAATACATTAGTCAAAATAGAGCACAACATTTTGAAGTGGTAATCAAATTTCTATATATATGGTCCATTAAGATTGTAATGCTTGATAATTAAGTCCCAAAATTAAGACCAGATTTCATATTAGGTTGCAAGATCAGCTGAGCCCACCTATATCCTAGAATAAGTTTTGTAATATGGTTTGTTTCGATGAACCCAACTGATCATTATTTTAAGTTTTTTTTTTTCCTTCAAATATATGATAATAATATTGTTCTCCACTAAGTTATAGAATATATATCATGTATCTGTACTCTTTTGGTACTTTCTAAGTACGTTCGGATTTCATGCCTTTTTTAGGAATGGGAAGAACATGTAGTCACTCACCTCCTCCATGTCAAGCTTGTACATTCTTTTTCATTTCCCTCTATTATATTCCCATATTAATTTCATATCAAATATAGTCCTTTGATACATACGTTAACAGATTAATATAACTCTCATCAAGACTAAAAAACTTGGCATTGTTTTCCATATTACACATCATAGTGTCAATATATATGTCTATATATAACACAGCAGTACTAGTAGTCTTATTGGTGAGGAATGACAATATTACTTGATTCTGTCAGTGAGGGTTGTTGGAATCACTCTACATGACAGATTATCAAAGTCCAACATTCTGAGATATATGGATCAGAGATTGAATTTACAGCAAGAGACAAATATATTAATGAGCATGTTATTTAGACAGACAAGTTCAAACCCCCGTCAACACAAGGGTGCAACCTCTAACTTGGCAGGCTTAGTTGTCACCCCGCATCATCTTCTTCTTCTATTATATATCTTGTGACATATAGACCAAACATATTTAACTCCACTCACGAGTGAGGTTGCCAAAGTGGACCATATTATTATACCGAGCACCCTTATTTATTCTAAGGGATTAAAACTCCGCTACTTACATGAAGTGGGTCTCGCTAGGTAGATAGGCGGGACCCAACCTAATAGAATCTACCGCTTTGTGAGTGTAGGGTTTTAACCTCTTCATAACGAATAATTTTTTTATTTATTTTTTATTATACCACATGACTTATCTAGAGAGTGTCATGAGACTATTCAGTTACAAGTATAGTAGAAGAAGAAGTAATATTAGAAGAGCTACTAACTCCAGAAGCAGCCAGGGCAGACCCATGGCCAATAATACTTTTCTGACATATTGCTGCATGCCACATTGAGAAACGAGCTTAAATTCGAAGTTATAGTTTGGATCCCACAGGACAGTATTGTGAATTATTAGACTGTTTTGTGCATACTTCTATATATTGAAATGAAAAGAGAGCAAAGAAATAATTAGCCATGAAATGGAATACATGGCTTAAGCACAAAAAAACTTGCAAGAAGAAAGAAAATTCTGATCAAGACAAAAGGAAAACTTGACCATATTACAAGTTGTTGTTAGGGTACTTTTCAGTTAAAAAAAAAAAAAAAAAAAAAAAAAAATTTTTTAAAAAAACTTTCCCCTGAATTGGTTACAACTTATTTGTGGCGCCGGATAAATCCAAATTTTTTAAACCTTCAATCACAACCTTGTCATAAAATAGTAAATTCAAGTTTGTGACATGAAAACCTTGTTGTCGTCATTGTTTTCAAAAAGTCCTATAAACTTAACTATTCACCATAATTAATATATATATATATATATATATGCACAAGGCAAACCCGACAACAACGTGCTTGAAGTGCCAAGCAGCATATGGATCATGGCTTAGACGTTTGACCTTTCTTAAGCGCAACGGGTCAGGAGAAATAGAAACGACAACATCGTCGAACGTTTCCACATATTTGACAAACGACAACGTATGACACAAACCATAATAGCGTAAATATATCATCTGTGATAGAAGACGAAAACAACAGAAACGACCACGTATAACTGAACGATAAGGTCTCGAACCGACGACGTCAAATAATAATCGACAATTTTAGGGAATGTATATACACATAAATGACAATCATAAACGAATGATAACATGTTAAGAAAACGACAACACTCATGGTGAACGACATTAAATCTATAAAACAATAATAACTAAAATCAACAGCTAGATTCAACAAGGATAAAGTTAAATGTAAACGAAATGGTTTTATGAACGCAGTTGTAATAAAAAAAACAACAAACACGTTACAAACGACGATTATTTTGGGAACGACAAAATTCTTTGAAAGAGGCATTTCAACTCGTGCAAACAATAATTAGGAGCCATCAGGAGGAAAAACATGTCATGAAAATGACAGCACTTAAGGTGAATTAAGATTAGCAAAAAATGAAATAATAATAAATAAAAAAAGACAGAAAATATCCAACAGGGAGAAAAAAAAAAAAAGACGTAAACGACAACATCTCTTACAAAGGACGATTTTACTTAAAAAAAAAAAAAAAAAAAGGACTGTAAGTTTAATATTGAACGACGAGTCGCGGCTAGTATTTCAGAAACGAGTAAAGACAATTGGATGACACACGATATATCTGTTTAAATATGTAGTTAGCAATTGATATTTTTTCCTTCTTCTAATGTGAACAAATCCTCTCCTATAATTATAAGAGATTGATTATCTGATTATAGAAAGATAATTATAAAAAGTAAATTATGTAGATAATCTGTATAATGACGTGATTAGTCTTATTTATACTTATAGCGAGACTCATTGAAAATTATCAGTGAATGAAATGAATGAAAAAGTGAGGGTATTCTTAGTCCATATAGGTAAATTGTTGAACCATGTTAAATCTTTGTTCTTCTTTTTTTTATATTTGTTATTTATTTTTATGCCTTATTTTCAAGATGGTATCGGAGTTTTAAGCTCTTGGGACCGATCCCCTCATCCTGTGTTCCTAATTCCCATTCAGCCAAAAAAAAAAAAAACTGTTTTAAAAAAAAAAAAACTTTCCAAACCCATTTGTAGAACCGTGAAAATCAAACCAATATTATTGGAAGAACTATTTGAGTTTGCTCCTTGAATAACCATTTGAAACCGTCCATCACAGATTTGGCTCGTCGCATTGAACCACTGTACCGAAATCCGCTGTCGAACCGCCGTGTCGAGCCTTGCCGAAGTCATGTGCCTCGTCCAAATTCACGCCACCAGTCCAGAACCACAAGGTTGACCCCCCTGCTGATCGATCTCTATGTCTTTTTTGTTTAAATGCCGCAGGTTGACATCTATCTAGGTGCCTTTGACGCACATGTAGAATATATGTGTGTGTGTGTATATATATATATATATGTACTAAAAAGGAAAAAAAATTGAATTGAAAAAAAAAGGTTGAGAGGAAGAAAAAAAGGACAAAAAAAAAAAACAGAGAGAGAAAATAAATATTGAAAAAAAAAAGGAAAATTGTGTGAAGAAAGAACAAAGAGAAAGAAAAAAAAAGTTGAATCTGAAAAGAAAAAATATTGAAAAAAAGCAAAAAAAAAAAAAAAAAAGAATTGTTTGAAGATCTCAATTATCCAATTTTATATGATCCCATTTGATTTTTTTTTTTATTCCAATTGATCTTATTATTCTCAAGTTAGTATGCACCAACTTAAGGGGAGTGTTGAAATTTGTAGTTAGCAATTGATATTCTTTCCTACTTCTAGTGTGAACAAATCCTCTTGTATAATTATAGAAGATTGATTGTCTGATCGTAGGAAGTTAATTAAAAAAATTCAACTATGTAGACAATATGTACCATGAAGTGATTAGCCCTATTTATACCCATGGCGAGACTCATTAAAAATTATCAGTGAATAAAAAAGTGAGAGTATTCATAATCTGTGGACGTAAATAAATTACCGAATCACGTTAAATCTTCGTTATTCTTTCCTTTCTATTATTTATTTATTTTTATATCTTATTTTCAAGAATATCGACTCTAACATACAATAGAAGCAATACAACGAAAACACCTCACGAAAACGAGAGTATTTAAAGAAACAACGAGATACTAATAAAACGACAACAGAATCATTTATAATCGATCAAATATACTAACGGAAACGTAAAGAAATTCGACGCAGCCAAAATTATTAGCAAATGCCCGCATATCTTACGACAAATAATTCATTTTAGAAATGAGAAAGTTCCTTAAGACGACAAGTAATGTTAGAAAAGACAATTTATAAGAAAACGACATATCAGTCCTCACGAGCAACGAAAGCAATAGAGATGACAGTATCTCATGAAACAACATCGTCAATTAAGAAAGAGAATAGTTTAGAAAATAAAATAAAATAAGGACGATGGTGTTACCAATGGAATTTGGTAAAAGGACGTAATAATGTGTTTTGTTGATGATACATGCGTTCATGTTTGCATATACATAACAACAAGGGCCATATTGAAAGTATTCCGCCAATTTTATCACTGGAATTTGGTTATAGGATAGGATTTTTAAAACGGTTTTGAATTTGAAGGGCATAAATATGTTATTCATGGGAGTAGGATGGTATTTGTATCATTAATTTTAAGGGTTACTTAGATAAATGTCTCCAGAAATAAAAATGTCCTCTCATTTTTTAAAACAGTTCAAAACACTTTTAATATATAGAAAACAGTTCAAAATGCCCCCTCCGTCTACAATCTTTTAATAGATTACTGACGTGACGTGCCATTAAAATTTAACTAAAGCTATTAAGATCGTGTTTGAAATTTGTTTTGTTTTTATTTTTCACGTTTTTTGAGAAAGAAAAATGAAAACGATTTCAAAACGGCGTTTGGCACAATTAAAGACAAAAAACGGAAATGAAAATGATTTTTAAGTTTAGTATAAAATATGAGAGAAATGAAAAACGACTTTTAGTCGTTTTTCATTTTTTGTTTTTGTCTTCTCCTCTCTTGAGTAGAGAGAGAAATAGAGAGACATTAATGGGTTTTTATACTGAAAATAATCTCTTGATAAAACTATTAAATGTATTTTTAAAAATGATTTTTGTTTAATCGACAAAGCCGCAAAGGTGTTTTTAGTTTTTCATTTTATTTAAATCACCTTTTTTTAAACATCATTTCTTATTATTCAATATTTAATCAAAATTTAATAACTTTAGTTAATTTTTAATAGCATTGTCACGTCAACAAACTGTTAGGATCATAAACAGAATTGGATGTAGAGGCATTTAAAACAATTTCCTATAAATTGAGATGTTTTGAACGGCTTTAAACGATCAAGGGCATTTTAAAATCAAGTATATTGTTCGGGTGCATTTATTAAATTAATCTTTAAATTTTAATGAGGGGAAATACTTTTGCAATTTGGCTGGGGTAAAAAAAAAAAAAAACAAATAAATCCATGAAACAACAATAAATCTTTTAAACGACAATTTCTGTGGAAGGACTGCATATGTTAAAAACGACGATATGAAAACATAAACACTCAACAGAAAAGTTTGCGATAAACGGAAAAGTAAACGACAAAATCTAAAAAAAAAAAAACTACTAGGTATATACCAACATCAAAATGAAAACGACATAATTAATGGAAAACGACAACAAATCTTATAAACGAAATTTCCTGTAAACAACGATTGTATCGAATCCACGATGTGAGAGAAAAGAAACGGAAAAATTAGAGGAGAAGAAACGAAACAATCTAAAGACCAGAACAACATATGTATCAGACGAAATACTGCAGACGACAACATACTTGAAAATAAGAAAATTCGTACGAAACGACAACACATCTTGTAAACGTCAATTTGTAATCATTAAAACGCCCAATAAATTTTAAAACTCGACCTTATAAACGACAACAGTACGGCATTTTCTTTTAAAAGTGACACGTTGCCCCTTACAAGAGACAAAGGGACAAACAACAGAAATGATTGCATCTCACCAGACGATTTTGTTTTCAACGAACGACAGCCACACATAAATAACAATATACAACAAATGCGATGGAAACGGCAATAAATGACAAAAAACGACTACTGTTATATTAAAACGAGTTAACGACAGTATAATTAAGTGTTATTAGTGTTATTGTGCGCTTTTATTTTTTTTTTATTAATTAAATGATAATTATTTATTTTTTAGTTGTGTGACATTATTTCTTATTTTGTCTCGGTAATTGTTTATTTTTAATAGAGTAAATTAAATAATATTTTTTTACCGTTATTTTCTGATACTTTTCCTTTTATTTTATTTTTGCGGAAATGTAATCAGTTAAATACCAAATGGACAACCAAAAAAAAAGGGAAAAAAGAAAAACAAGCGAAGAGAAGAGACGAGAGAACCCTGGAATAGAAGGCAAAAGCTAAAAGAACGTCGAAAAAGCTCCAAGAAAGCAGTGCAATAGCCACACCAAAAAAGGCAACCAAGAAACCGAGTCTGCATCAATGGTGGTCTCATCCAATTTCACCTCAATCTCTCTGAGCTCTCCTCGCATTCTCTCTTCCGTCGTTAAGTCTTCCGTCTGCGCAATTCCTCTGAACAACGGTTTCAGCCCAAGAAACATCAGTTCAAGCGCGACAAGCTTCTTCGGCGTCCATGGCTCGAGAAGATGCAGACCCATCTCGGTCCAAGCCATGTCTTCCTCGTTCGGGTCTCGGCTCGAGGAGACCGTGAAGAAGACTGTCACTGAGAACCCAGTTGTCGTTTACTCCAAAACTTGGTGTTCGTAAGTCAAATTCATTATAATTCTTTGGTTTCTTTCGAAATGATTGGTTTCAATTTAAAGATTGTGTTTGGAATTTCTTTTCCCTCTGGAATCTGATAATGGGGGTTTTGTTTTGTTTTTTTTGGATGTTGAAGCTATTCATCTGAGGTGAAATCGCTGTTCAAGAAACTTGGCGTGGAACCATTGGTCATTGAATTGGACGAGATGGGTGCGTATTCTTTTATTCTTACTCGCTTTATTTAGTCAAAATATTTTCTGTGTATGATTCGGACTAGAAATTACGAGCTGGGATTTCTAGTTCCTTCTTTTTAAGTATTATTTTGCTATTTTTCGGTCCGATGCAATACGTTTATCGACTTAGTGCAAGTCCTCATATGTTGTTCTATCTTAGTACTCTCTTGGTAACCGCTAAATAATCTAGGAGTACTAATGTAGAAAAAAAAATGAAGGAACAACATGACAAGCACCCATCAAATTTTAGTACTCTCTTGCGTTAAGCGTTGTTTTAGAGTTGGTTTACATTTAGCTCTTATTACCATAGTGCAGTAAGTCATCAATGATAGCGGCCTTATATGCTCCTGAGTTACATATCAGGACATAAAAAAATATTGACAAACAAATATTGATGTAGATTGATACTTGAAGTTAGGGACATTATATCTAGGAAGTTAGCCATTTTTAATCAGGTATCGCAAAATATCTGTCCCTTGAGGGAGATTCATATAGGCTTCTTCGAACTTTCTTTCCTTCTGTGCGTCATTCGGTTCTTTATTGATCTTACTTATTTTTGTAAATAGTATTCAGAGTTTTTTACTTTTTCTTCCAATTTGCTCTCATAACTAATGGTTACTAAATATTAAAAGGCAGTACTTTCTTCTCTTCTCTCTCATCATCTTTGTTCTTAAACTTGCTTCAAAAACTTTGTTTCCTTTAGGCGCCCAAGGGCCACAGGTACAGAAATTGCTGGAGAGGCTTACGGGACAACACACTGTACCAAATGTTTTTGTCGGTAAGTGATTTTGAATGCTTGATATTACCTGAAAACACCTAAAATGTACTTTGCTGAGAAGAGGTGGACTACACTCCCTTTCCCCCTCATAGTTGCTACGTGGCAGATTGTTCATCTATTACTAGCTTTTTTTCGTGTCATTTTATTCCCCCAAATGCGGGAAGACTCCTATCTTCAATATCATGATATTAGTCTATATAGGATTTTTTATTGTAACTCGAAACTCTGGAAATTCTGGTTGTGTGCTTGAACTTTTTTGGCTATCATTTTTGTAAAGCTAGCCTCTCAAGTTTAATTCTTTGTTCAAAGTCATTGCCAACATAAAGTGAATTTTTGAAAGAGATGCTTGAGCATTCAAAATTTATGATACAAGAATCTCGATTGCTTGATGCTGTAATTATTTCATTTGATTCTGTGTTTAATGAGACTGAAGGCGCAATCTTTTGTTCCAATTTATGAGCAGGGGGCAACCACATTGGCGGGTGTTCAGGTACACCCTTCTTTCTCTACTAGTTCTATAAGAATGCTGATCTTTTTGCCATAAATTGCCAAAGATGGGATTATTATTTACAAAACTTTCAATTTTCTTATGCAAGATTTGTGATAATCCCGTATCTCTATCCACTATGGATGACTCGTGCACTTAACTGAAAAGATGAAGAGGAATAAGTTACTGAAATGAGTTCTACATCTTCTGTTTGCTTCTTCTTTTGATGCAGAGACTGTGAAGCTGCACCACAAAGGAGAACTTGAACCTCTGCTGGCAGAAGCTACCAAAAATGCACAGAGCTAGTTTGCTGATACGTCTTCCTTTGACGAACCTGATATTGTTACAACCTTAAGTTTGACTTCAAACTTGCTCATATGCATGTTTACCGTTGTCAGATATAAATGTACTGAATGAACCTTATTAGTTAATTCATTCATAACAATCTAATTCCAAAAGGCAAAACCACACAATGCTGTATTTGTTCCTCTCTTTTGCAGGAGATTTTGAGTATGTGAATCTAACAGAATAGTTATTGTCACTGTGAGAAAAGAGAACAGCAAACAGAAAGGGGCAGTAAAAAATAGATCATTATAGTTATGAAACAACAGTATCCCCTTATCTTTCATGAACTTAACTGAAAATAAAATAAAAGTATCCCTCCAAAGTCAAAGGAGTTATTTCTTCACACTGTTGCTTGAGCAATAAACTTCTCTCTTAGGCCTTTAAAATAGACCAATAACTTATCACCATCAGGAAGATTCTCCTTGATAACTGGGACATCTCTAAAATTCTTGATCCACGCCTCTAAGAGAGGAAATCTATTAGGCTCTAACAGCTTCACACCAACTGCTTCTTCCATGTACTCAAGCCAGCCTGCAATCCATCCAAATGTCAAGTCTGTCATTCCAACTTTGTCACCCCCAAAGAATTTCTTCTCTCCCAGCCCTCGTTCTTCTATTGTTTTCAACATCTCCTTGGCTTCTTTTGTTGCCTCTTCTTGTTCTTCTCCAACTGCTTGAAAGAATGCAAAAAAAGTGGGGTTCTGCAGAAAACAATATGCAAGTTACAGTAAGTGAGTGAGAGGGAGAGAGATACTGTAGAACTTGTAATTCTCAAATCTTTCTTGTTTAGAGTATAATTTTTAGTTTTGCTTTGCGGTTAAACTCAATTTTAGTCCTTGAACTGTCGACTAAATCTATTTTGGTCCCTAACTTTTAAAATATCGAGTGTAAAGTCCTTGATCTATCAAATTGTTTCAAATTTGTCATTTCATCCAGACTGTTAGAACCTCAATGAAAAAAATACATGACTTCCTTCTTAGAAGTCATGCCTTAACATCAAAAATAGATTCTCATTGAACTACACATGGTCCTCATGTGCCTTTTCTTATCAAGGTTTTTATCAGCTGGATAGATAAAAGGACTAATTTAGAAAAAAAATTGATAATTTAGGATTTATCATGAGACATTTTAAAGGTCAAAGGACCAAACTAGAAATTGCCCTACAGTTCGAGGAGTAAAAATGATATTAACTCTTTGCTTTTCTAATATCTACTTGCTTCTCTGCTTAAGTGATCAAGAAGTGGGGGTTATGTTCTGAACAACCTCATTTATTTAGTCTTCACATATCCACTATCTCTGAAATAACAATATGCAAATTACCTCGTCCTCTCCAAACTTTGTCCAAAACCTAGCCGTAGCCCTCTCATAAGGATCACTAGGGAGAAGAGGATTCTGTGGCCAAACCTCTTCAATGTACTCAAGAATAACAGTGGACTCTGCAATTGGTTTTCCGCCATGAATGAGCACCGGGATCTTCCTGTGAACTGGGTTATGCCGTAAGAGAAGATCACTCTTGTTGAACAGATCCTCTTCTACATACTCATATTCAATGCCCTTTAGCTTTAGAGCCCATATAATTCTATAACAAAAGGTGCTTGGCCAAGCTCCTAATAGCTTCACTTCTTTCATTGTTCAGCCGTACTTTCTTCCTCCTAAACTGGTTTGGAGGGAAGTGTTTTTTTTTTTTTTTTTTTTTTTTTTTTTTTTTTTTTTTTTTTTTTTTTTTATAGTTGATTTTTAGAAGATTTTTATTTGAAAGGTAAGAGAAGTGCCAATTACTAATATATTTTATCTTTACAGTAACTAAGCATGGTCAAAGACGCAAATTATTGGAAGATCAACCTTATATCCTATAAATTCGAATATTAATATATGAAGCACCTCTTGGTAGTTGGTATGTAGCTTTCTTAATAGCCAGCCAGGATGCAATGGAAAAATAAAACTGAATAGGCTTCTGTTGCTATAGGTTTTTTAGAGTTAAACATAGTTAACGGTTGGAGGTGATCGCTACTCTTTTGGAGATTCAGGGACTAAATTGCAAAAGCAAAAAGATAGGAGATGAAAGTGGCAAACAACAAGAAGCTCATGGGTCACGATTGCATATCTCAGCATCTTCACAGTTATTTTGACAGTAACGAGGAATCTTGTTATCTTGTGGCCAAAGTAGTTTTGACTTTTGAAACGTCATGCAGCTAGATTGGTCAAAGAAGCTCAACGTAAATGGAACTTCCTTTTTAATTTTCAAGAAGCAGAGAATTCAACTACGTGTTAGAATACTCCTATTTAAATGGAATCACCAGAGTTGGAAAGAAAACATCAAAACTCAAATTCCCATTTCAAAAAAAAAAAAAGAAGGAAGAAGTGAAGCTGTTGGGAGCTTGACCGAGCCCTTATGCGTACAGAGTGATATGGGCTCTGGAACTGAAGGGTGTCAAGAACGAATACATGGAAGAGGACTTGGCCAACAAGAGCGATCAACTTTTGAAGTACAACCCAATTCATAAAAAGATTCCGGTGCTTGTTCACAACGGAAAACCCATTTCAGAGTCGCTTGTTATCATGGAATACATCGACGAGATATGACCCCACAATCCTTTGCTTCCAAATGACCCTCACCACAGAGCCGTCGCTCGCTTCTGGACCAAATATATGGATCAAATTTTGTGAATAATATTTTTCGTTCTTGAAAGTGGACTAAACGACAATGCTTTTATATTTAAAAAAAAAAAGAAATTGGACTAAACGACGTGCATTTACTTAATACTTTTTTCTTGTCATTTAATTCCTTAAACGGGGCATTGTTTTTTCGCTTTTAAAGTCAAAAACAACCATTCTAGCCACACAAAAAGAGAGACAGAGAGACAGAGAGAGTCAAAAAACGACCTGTCGTCTTTTGTGCGTTTATCTTTAATGTCGTTCGAAGCAGACAAACGTCATGTCGCTTTCACATAATGTTTTTGGTCGTTTATTTTCTCAAATACACCTATTGTTTCTCACCTACCGAGTCCAGAAAAGGGTGTCACTGCCTAACGTTTGTCACCGTTTTATTCACGTAAACTACATGTCGTTTATAGTAAACTTACTGTCGTTTACGTCAAAAGACTAGTACATGAGAGCTTTTGCAAGTTTACCGATAAAAACAGGGAAAGTTCATCAATTATATGTGCTTGCTTTGTTAGTTTAACGGAAGACAATCTATGGGGAAATTGCAGGAAATGGAATGTAGCGCATTTTTTTTGTAGCAGTTGGAGAAGATGAAATGGAGAAGGCAGCCAAAGATGTAAGAGATGCCCTGGGAGTAGTGTTAGAAGAGCAAGCGCTTAACGGAGAAAAGAAGTTCTTTGGAGGGGACGAGATTGGGTTGGCTGACTTAGCCGTTGGAGTAATAGCCACGACGTTTGGAGTGATTACAGAAGCGGTTGGCGTTAAAGTTCTTGAAGAGAATGACGTCCCTCGCATTCATAACTGGATTACGAATTTCAAGAATCACCCAGCTATCAAGAAACAACCTTCCTGATCCTGATGAAATGCTGCTTTATTACAAGAAGAAGAGGGAAATGCTCGTTGCCTCCAACACAGCATAATTAGTTCACGTTCATTTCACGGATTCGAGTTTTGTTGCAGTGAAAATCTTTTAAAAACAATTACAAAATAAAAAGTTCTCACGTAAAATCACATCTCAACTCGAATCAGAAAATTAACAGGCCGCCCTTATTGATGTTTTGCAAATGTTTATTTCTGTTGTAGGTGTTCTTTATTTTATGTTTTTTACAGACCAGCAGTAATTTTTACATGCATTTTTCGGTTCTTATATTATTCTGATGTGATTTAACAAAATAATTATGTAACGTCTCGCTTCCTCATAAGTTTGAAGGACCCAAATATCATTTTAAAGAGATGTTTTTAAACAAACGGGCCCTTTAATTTTATCCTCCTTTTTCTTTTCTTTGCCACGCATTCGGAGCCATCTGGAGTTTAAAAAAAAAAAAAAAGAGGGAGCCGAATATCTTTATTGTTATTTTTTTTATCCCCAACATATAATCCTCATTATTTACAATGGATACAATTATTATTTAAATGGTAAAAATCACTAAGTATGAATTATTTGATGTGAAATTAAATTTCAAGAACGCGGGTATTCAAAACATCCAAAATATATAGTATAGGTTTTTTTTTTTTATAAACTTGGAATGCATGATATGAAATAGAAAATGCTCATTTAATGAACTCATTACCACATTATCTACTATCCAAAATTTGCTAAGTAATTTGAAATCTATGACCTCATAAAATTATTCTTTTTATTTTATACGTTGCTTATCTTTTAAACTCTTCTGTCGTTTACTGCTATAACCCCAATTTATCTTTTATATTGTTTAAATTAGAAAAAAATGACATGTTCTTTGTTTTAGTAAGCGACTCTATACCTTAAATTTTGCTATTTTCTCATGACACGTCGTTAAAACAAATTTATTGTATACTTTTTAGGGAAAGTTGTACTGTATTCATCGAATTATCGGTATAGTATCTCCACATTTAAATAATACCAAATTAATACCCTGCATAAAATAAGTTATGGTACCAAATTGATACCTTGTATTTCCTAAATTTATTCCAACATTAAAACAAACATACTATAATATGACACAATTTAACGAATCATTGAATATGAGTTTTTAATAACAAATTAAATTATTGTATTACAATGCACCATAACAAACAAATTATACGTACATATATATAGGATTTTTAATCCATATTAAGGTCCTAACCCAACTTAACTTGTGGATCATTGATGTTTGGTAGAGGGATTCGTTCCCTGATTCGAATCATGATTCGTGGTTCGCTACAGTATTTTCTCTCACAAAAAATTCACGTAAATCGAAAATAGTTCGAATCACATGGTTTGAATCCTCTAACCAAACGTTAGGTTGGCATTCACAAACATTCACAAACTCGGGAACACCCCCTAGAATTTTGTTGGGTTGTTCTTTTGCATTTTTGAGTTATGGTGACTTGAGTGATGATCTTTGAGTTGAGTTTGAGTTATAACTTGAGTTGAAGTTGTAACTTGAGTTGAAATTATAACTTGAGTTTGTGTTTGAATGTGCACATTTGAGTTATAATTTGAATTGAGAATCCTTTTGAGTTTATGTTTGGGTGGGTCAAAACTTAAATTTTTATTTAGATAGTATTTTAATAAAAACTCAATAGTGATGAACAATTTTAACAGGATAAATGGGTGGAGTTTTATTCCATTTTTCGTTATGAATGCATAGAAAGAAAAATCATCTCAATCAGAATTAAAACGAAAAAGTTATGACATTTTTAAGAATGGAAAAAATATTACTGTTCATTAACTTGAGTTCAAGTTTATAAACTCGAGTTGAAGAGAAAATTTGAACTCGAATTTAACCTAAAATTTGAGTTTAAACTCGAATTTAAACTCAAATTTTATAAAAAAAATATGAATTTAAATAAAATTATAATTCGAGTTTAAATTCTGAATTTTATTTAAAATGAACAACTTCGTACTTTTGGGGAAAATGGAGGTAAAATAAAATAAAATAAAAGTGCAATTCTTGTTACGACATGGCGTTTACGAGGTGGCAAGTAGCAAACGTGGGAGTTCTATGACCATCCAAACATATGGGAGCTCCCGAGTCCGTTTGGGGGCATAACTGTCAATAACAATAATAATAATAATAGTGGAGCTAAAAGAAGCCACAAATACCGGAGAAGTATCTCTCTCTAGCTGTAGCAGCGGTGGCGGCCATGTCTTCGTCTGCAGCAACTACAGCTGCTCTCTTTAACGTTGTCGGAGTGGGACCCCCTTCTTCTTCTTCTTCTTCTTCGACTACTACTACTCACAGCAGTTTCAGACGCTGTTTCCATTTTCACAATCCAAGACCCGGCAAGTTATTATGGCTCTTTCCTTCCATTAATATTGCAACTCTTCACAATCGGAGAGCTTCTTCTTCCTCTATTACCTGCTCTGCCACTGATAAGCCATCCTCTTCCTCTTCATCTTCAGAAATTAGGTCCTCTATTTCTCTCTCTATCTCTATAACTACTTACAATTTCATAAGGAGCCACAGATAGTCATGCTATTACTCTTTTTCCTACTGTTTTATAAGGTCTAAAGTAAATCCTGACCTGGGGATGGTTTTACATTTAGATGGTAAATTGGAATGCTGAAACAATCATTGTCATAATTGATACACATAATAATTATGTTATGAAGTAGCTGTTGACATGGTTCTAATTACAGTCAATGTTCATGAAGTACTTCTCAAAAAGTAAAGTAAATACGTCTCGTTTAATTCATCGATTCGAGTTTTTAATTTGAGTTGAAATATAATTTTACGTTGGAATTTTTAATTGTAGTAAAAATTAGATGTGACTTGTGAGAATTTTTAACTGTAATAAAATTATAATTGAAAATTTGAATCGGTGAAATAAAAGAGGTTATAAGTAATTAAAATGGGGTTGTTTTTGCCTTCTGTAATTACTAATCTTTCTCTCTACTTCGGATTGTTTTCAAATGCATGCTTTTTGCTAGAAGTTCATGTTTTGCAAGTGAAATAATATCCATGTAAATCACAATCCTGCACTGCTCATCAGCTCTACTGCCAAGATAAGGAGTGAAGTTCTTTCCCCATTTCGCACCGTCCGGATGTTCTTTTACCTTGCTTTTGTCGCGAGTGGCTCGCTTGGAGGACTAATTGCGGCGACACAGTTGATTGGCGCCCTGGCAAACTCATCGAGGTCGTCTGAAGTCCCCGAAATCTTGAAGAGTCTCGCAATAGATGTTGGGGCAGCGTCACTATTTGCCTTCGTGTATTCCAGAGAAAACAATGCCAAGCAAGCACAGTTAGCCAAACTCTCGAGAGAGGAAAGCCTTTCAAATCTCAAGCTCCGAGTGGACGAAAAGAGAGTGATTCCCGTGAGCTCATTGAGAGGGATTGCTCGCGTTGTCATCTGCGCCGGCCCCACTTCTTTCATCTCCGAGTCGTTCAAACAAAGCCAGCCTTTTACTGAAAGGCTTTTGGAACGTGGAGTGCTTGTAGTGCCCTTTGCCACGGACGGGAATTTGCCGAGTTTTGAGTTTGAAGAAAGTGATGAAACTGGGAATAGTCCCAAAAGAAAGAGGCTGTGGCAGCTCAGTCCTGTTTATGTTGCTGAATGGTCCAAGTAAGCTAAATCATAACCATGTTCTGGAAAATACTCAATTTCATTAGTCTACTCCTCTCATTTTTCTTTTTGGTCTCATGTTTAATTAGATGGTTGGAAGAGCAAAAGAAGTTGGCCGGCGTCTCCCCTGAGTCCCCGGTGTAAGCGTTTCTTTTCATGCATGAAAACTAGATTCATCATTTATCTTGAAATTAAGACAAAGCAATGATCTTACTTCTATGAAACTCATAGAATTTTAACACTTTTCTTTCTTAATGATTTTTTTTTTCCTGTCCTGCAGGTATTTATCTCTAAGAATGGACGGTCGAGTTCGTGGGAGCGGAGTTGGTTACCCCCCTTGGAACGCTTTTGTTGCGCAGTTACCCCCGGTGAAGGGAATGTGGTCTGGTCTTCTTGATGGAATGGATGGAAGAGTTCTTTGAATAAAGTATGTCAATTTCGGTGTCTATTAAGGTTAGTTCCCTTTGGTTTCTCATTGCATTTTATTATGAGCTGTTACAAAAACACTGAAATTGGGACTAGTAAGGCTACTTAACGTAATTTTGATTTTGTTCCAGTAAAACAAATGTAACATTTGGAACAAACCACAAGTATTTGAGATAAAAGGGGAAAAAAATCTCATATAATAGAAAATTATATTGTTCTATTATCTTTCATAGTCTCATTTTGTTCAGATAATTGACAGTGTGTTCAAGCAGAAGTTTTAGTTCTCATACATCTTCATTTCATGCATTGTACTCGGCAAATTGGTCAGTACATTATACGCCATGAGGTGGCTACAAACAAAGGCATCAATCAAAGTTTAGGAATTAAACGCCATTATGCAGAAAGGAGTTCTCGAGTCTTGCCCGTCTTTGTACTTAATTTGCGAGTCTTGGCGCTTAATCTGATTCTCGTCCCTGACTCTTTCGTGCTTTTCACTGCTGAAGCCACATAGACTCTGCCTGCAATATTGTGCAGGTTTATTAGGAGATCATTTAGTGAATCTTTGTACTGCTCCTATGATTCAATTTATCAGTCACTTCATTTTGTGCAACAACAATACATGCAAACATGACTGCATTGCATTGTTTTGAGTTACACTCGATCTAGAAGGATGTATAGTTATTTCTACAGTCTGCGATTAGAGTATATGTAGATTTGCGCATTCTTTTGGCATCTTTCGTTAATTGCAGACATATTTTGTGTACTATAATATCAGGCAAAAGAAACCTTGTGAGCTTTAGAGATTTTCTGGGGAATACACAACCCGGCCCCCTCTCGGGAAACGGGGGTGGGAGTCGAACAAGCACCCGCCCCGCCCTTTCTTCTTCAGTCATGCAGGCAAAATCAGTTTTGGCAGTAGAACTGAAGCAGTTCGGAAGTTTATTGATTACGTCACGACATTCACAATGAACTGCTAAGTAAGCGGAAAAAAAAAAGTTGAATTATTGGCAAATTCTATGTATATAAACATTGTTTTCCTGAGTTAAGAGCCCGTTTGTATTATAAACTCAAACTCAAATCATTAATTCTATTAAAGTGTTTTCTTCTTACAAAAAATTTGAATTTTAAACGTCACAATTAAGAATTATAGTTTGAATATACCTTTACTCAAACCGGTCTTAAATGTATGCGATCGATGGGTTAACTTGTTTTGGAAAGAATTATGGATTACAATAGTTGCCATGTCTGCCAAAATTGTTGGTTCCACTTGAACCAATAATAAGGTTATGCTATATACGAGTATCATATATTCATGAGTTGGATTTTTAAGCAATACTCTCATTAACTTGGAAGAAAGGAAGAAAGGAGCAACGGAATCAAAGTATGATACACATTCATGGCAAGAACAAGATAAGAGACTGGAATATAGTAAGAGAACTGAGGATTACAATTTACATTCCCAAATGAAAAACTCATTTAACTTCCACGATCTCGTCCAATGCATAGTTATTCGTAGATACACTGGCGTAGTTAACCTTGCTGAATCGAACCACAACTGGATAACGGCTCTTTGGGTCCTGTTTAGCAAACACAGAAGAAGAAAAAAACGAAAACTTTTACAATCTTTTCCTTTAGGTTTTTTATTAACAACAGAGTTGTTAATATAGTTTTAAACTGTCAGATTCTGTCATACGGCTAGCAATATGACAGTTTAACAACGGAACTTCATAAAAATCCCACAGTTCATAACTCTGACTATCAGTACGTTTTTTCTTTTCTTTTCTCTTCTTTTCTTTTACACTACCAAAAAAATTCTCCTTATTTTTTTCCCCCTTTCCCATTAAGAGAGAGAAACAAACCTGGTCAACAGCTACAACAGATCCAACGTCCTTGTACCAGTAGGACTCCCTTCTGAGAATCCTAACCTGCAGAGTAAAAGCATATATATACGTCAATTAAATTAGCCCTATTATGTTCATCGCCAATTAAATTATGATTAAGGTTTGTTGTTGTTGTATGTTGATCGCCAAAAAAATAAAAAAATAAAAAAAACTTTGTGAAAGATTATAATCTGCCATTGCTTTTTTTACATGGGATTCTTGTTGGCAATATAACAGTCATTATAAAGGACGTTAAAACTAACTCTGCAGAGTTGGGATTCAATGAATTGAATCTCAACTCTCACTCACTTAGCTAGTATCAGACAGACCAAAACTACAATATAATGGGAATATTTGCGTTTAGTTTATGGATTAGAATCATGTGATTAAAATTATTTTTGATTTACGTGTATTTTTTGTGAGAGAAAACACTGTAGTGAACCATGAACTATGATTCAAATCATAATTTGAATCCTCTAACCAAACATCCCCTTAGATGACGTTTGGTTGATAAATTCATATTTATTTTCGATTTACGTGTATTTTTTTGAGAAAAAATATTATACCGAGTCACGAACCATCTTCCAAATCATAACACGGATCCTTAAACTAAACACACTTAATATCATGACACGAATCCTTAAACCAAACACACTTAATATGATCTTTATGTTACCAATAAAAGTCTTTTCAATATTTATACTACTTAAAATCATGTTAAAAAGAAGAAAAAAAAGATAAAAAAATCACCTAGATGCAAAATGAATACATAAGTAAACGACCCCTTTGTGTGTGTGTGTGTGGGTTAATTAGGCCAATACAATTTTTAGAGAATTGGTATTAAATATGTTACTTTTTAGAGAGATTTGAGCATAATTTACAAGCATGTCTATATACATGTTACCAAAAACATGAAGTATTATTAAAAAAAATAATAATAATAATAATAATAGTGAATCAGGAATTAGCTAGATATAAGAAAAACCTTGGTGCCTCTCTTGGGTCCAATTGGCTCAGGCTTGGGCTTGGGAGCTTCACCTTCCGGAGCGGGCTTCGTGGCAGCCGGCGGCGCCGCCCCTTCCTCGGCGGCTCTCACGACAAGCCTTGAAACCGAACTGCTTCTGCCGTTGTTGCCGTTGTTCTTTAAATGGAAAAACGACACGCTGTTTCTGCTCGAAACGGCGGCGCCCGTTGTGGTCGCCACACTTGGTGTTAGCACGAACCCTGAGGCAGCTGACGCCATGCTAGCCATTGCCTAATCTTTTTTTTTTTTCCTCTGTATTTCTCTTGTGCCTCAGATTTCTCTCCTCCTTTTTCCAATAGATGTAAAGTGTGGGAAAAAATTAATATCGAAGACAGGACAAAGAAAGAAGATCGAATGGTTTCAAACCAACTGAAATTTTGTGGGGTTTTGGGAAGAATTATCTGATCTTGTAAAGTGTTGTGAATCGTTTCCTCCACTAGGGTGCTGCCACCTATGTCACCATATCCAGTTTCTTTGGATAATGTGATTACAACTCATACTTTTTTTTAACTCCTGACTATTTTTTCTTTTCCTTTTTTTTCCTTTTCTTTTTTGAGCTACAATTTCTTTTCTTTTTTTTTTTCGTTTTAATTTTCCTCTTGCCTTTTTCTGTTGTGTGTGCAATAAAATTAGTTACCATATGAGGTCTTTAAATTGAGGACCACATGATGATCAAATCAAAATATAAATAGGAATAATGACAAAAATCTCACTTCGAATAGTGTGTTTCACTTTATATTTTTAAAAATTTTGTTCATATTTTTACGTTTATTTATAGTATTAAAATTATCCTTTTGTTTTACAAATTGTTGACAACCTCCTACATGGGTTGAAAGGTTTTTAACCCAGTTGCTAACACGCGCAATATTCTTGGAAATATAAAGTAAAGGGCCATATTTCAATAAAAAAACATGTTAGATCCTAAAAAAAAAATGTTAGGAAAATTGTAGTTTATAGTCTAGTTTTGCATCCTTACGTGAGTATTGCTTATTTACTACAACTGTTAAGAAATAACATTTTCAGTTTTAACATAAGATGTTTGGGTAACAAAAGAGTTTATAACTAAGAACCTAATGAATGTTATGTAAGTAAATAAATTAGTAAATATCAATTAAAAAAACGCATATAATTCGGTGTTCATGGAAGTAAATTGTTATTATGGATTTATCAAATTTGATCAGGAGACAAATCCAAAATTCTTAGATTTTTTAAATTTGATTACAAGGTAAATCCGGTAAGTCATCAGATTACTAAATTTAGTAGATTTATTAATTTTAATATAAATCTAATAAATTCTGAATTTACTTCTATTTTCTAACTTATCAAAAAAAATCTGCCATTTGTTTTTATGACCTATAGTAAGCTATTTCCTCCTTCTCCTCTCAATATTATCAAATTGAAAAAAAAAACAACAACAACAACAACAACAAAAACAAAACAAAAAAAACAACCTATAAACTCCAAAGATTGGGTTGGGCCTAGGATTCGTTTGGGCTATCAATTTGGGTATTCTAGTGAAGAAACGACAACAAGTCTCAATACGTGTTAGCTGTCGTTGGACATTTTCGCGCCTAAAATCTCTCTCTCCGTTCTTCAACTTCAACGACTGCTCAGCTCTCTTCCTTTCTCAGCAAGCATGATACAAAGAGTTTCAAATTCCTCAAACCCCTAAGCTGATCTAGGTTCTTTTTCTTTTTTCTTTTCGCTTTTCTGAAAAATCAAAGCACGGCGAGGGCAACAATGAAGAGAAGGAGTTACGAACCTAATACCAAAGCTCTGCTGCGGATTCCAACTTCGTCTCGATCAGGTTTTCATGGAGTTTAGGGCTAAAGATTCTGAATTCTAGAATTAGTTTTGCGAATTATTTGTTTCTACTAATCATTTGAATTGGCAACTGGAGTATGCATCAATTAGGGTTTTTTACTAACCTAATTATTGAATTTTTCCTCTTTTCCCATTTTCACATCAGATACGAGCCGCGGGAAAAGAGTGAAAGTTGTTGATATCGGTGTTGATAATCCTTTGAATTTTAAATTCGATGCTTCTTCCATACCCGTGGGAGCGAAGAAGACATTAAAATGTGAGTTTTGTATTGATCTCTTCTTCTTCTTCTTCTTCGATTTACAAAAGTTTTCGTATTTTCACTTTTTTTTTTTTTGGTGTTAACAAGAATCATCACTAATTGCAAAGATTGATGGTCTGATATAAAATTTTTTGAGCAGCTGATGATGCGAAGACTTCTGAATACGCCTTCTTCAAGAAATTGAAGAAAGACGCAGGTCAAAAATTTGCTTCTCATGTAGTGCATGGTGAGCCAAATCGATCCGATGAGTTGGGGGTGAGGGACACTTCCAGAGCCAGAGGTAACTTGTTTAAGAACTCCTAATTAATTTGAATTTTTTATATTTTTAAGTTTCCATGATGCGATTAAATTTGCTTGATGAGTTTGTGACTAATTGTATCCTATGCAGAAAATAACAACTTTGTCAATAACGATGGCCATAAGAATGTCAGATCCTCATTGCTGGTTGAAAATGCTACGCCTGTTAAGTTCATCTCGTTTAATTCACCTCTTGCAAGCGCTAGTGAAACAAGAAAGTCAAGTATGTTTTTGGGCTTTCGTTTTTCTCTTATCATTTTCAATTCAATCTGCTTAAAATTTGTTCTGATTAGTTTTTACAAAACCAAAGCTTACTGTGGTTCATGAGATTTTATTTCTTCTGGTTGCCATGGAAATTTTATGATCTAAGAATTTGTATTGTTCTTATATTATTGTAAAACAATTCTCATTGTCTGAAAGCTATGGGACTATTTCCTGCGAATTATGAGTATATCCTTTCATTTATAGATGTAACATGCGAAGAAAGTTTTTGCAGCCTCAGAAGATGTACGACAGAAAGAGAAAGATAGAGAGGAATATAGTCACTTTTTGAGGCCTGAAGGTAAATTTTTTTTTTTTTCTGAAAGGAGTAAATATTTGTATTCAGAATCTCTGCATTAGTTAGTCCTCTCTCTTTGGTGGCCAAGGGGATAATCAGAAGAAAGTAGAATATTATGAAAAAACGGGCTTTATTATCAGTTGAGTTTCAAGAAACCTTTTCACTTTATTGAGGCAACCAAGCTCTAGTGGTAAGCTCACTTCCAGGATTCCATAGTACCTCCCTAGTCCCTAGTAGATGGCAGATATAGTTTTTAAGATCATTTGTTTATGATATTTCCCTCTCATCCAGAAACTAAAGAATTTCATGTGCTCATGTAACAACACATTTATTTGAAGTCTTCAGGAACTCGACATAGACATGCAGAAGTTTTCAATAGAAAAAGACAGAAACTACGTCGCTGGGTTACAGATGTTTCTTTTCCTGAAATTGATGGACTCTGCTCGAAGGGGTTAGACTCACAATAATTACTAATTGCGTACATTTTCTTTCTTTGGTTCTTTACTCAGCAAATTGGAAATTTTCGCAGGTATGATGTTGTTCCTGTGCTTATCAGTCGGCTTATCCCAGAGAGCAAAGATAACAATGTATCCTCACTTATCAGATAGCCATTTGAATGAACATGTTCTTTTTGCTGTTTACGTTACTAAGCAAAAGTACTTGCTCTTGCAGAATGCCAAGGATCTAAAATTTGGGCAAGTGGACACTGATGCCAAATTTGCATTAGCTGCATACCCTGAGTCAGATATTTACTGCAAGAAACTTCAGTGGATACCTACAAAACATTTAACAGATCCTGAATTTGGGCCCTATCTCGGCGACTATGAGGCTATGCCACATAATTGGCCAAACAGAACAAGAGGAAGGATTCTCTGTTTGGGAGCTCCATATAGCCTTGATAACAACACCCAGGACTGGTATAGAGTATGGGAATCTGACTCTGAATTACTAGGAGGAAATAGGGCTTTATGCACTGAGAGGGATTCAGGTTTCTCCTTTCCTTTCAGAAGGTTCGGGTTCGTTGAATCTGTTGAAGAGCTCGATCATTTGACTCTGCCAAACAGATATTTGTTTGGAAACCAGTCAAACACGCCTATGCTGGGTTGGGATTATGACAAGGAAGGTGAAAGAAATTCATCCCCAACTTTCCATGATTATATAGAGCCAAATGCACATCCCACATCATTGGTGCCATGGATTGATAGTAATAAGCATAATGCCGGCGAGTTTTTTTCATTATCTAATGTCCATGCTGATGGAGAATCTAGAAGTTTGCTGCCCATTTCTCCTATATCAAGTTACCACAACCAAGAATATGGGGTACATGTCCTTGAAGACAAGGAGGATGTATTACTTGATTCAAATCATATTCCCTTAACCTTATCGTGGAGAGACAACTATTTGGGTCCACCTAAAGTTTACTACAATGAGACAGGTTTTCGACATCAAGACCATTGGTTCATGAACAAATTTTTCAGCCGAGGGCATCATCATCATTCCCAAACAGAAGATCTCTTTTCCCCTGGACTCGTTCTCAATTTCAGATGGAAGTGCTTTCCCATAAGTGGTTTCCCACAAGAGCGCTATTCATCCCCTTATCGCGCTCTTGAATATCCTACAAACCAAAGCCTCGAGAGTTTCCTGGATGATTCAAATCATAAAGGAAGACCTGCTGGTTTTAGTGAAGAATCTGAAGGTAATGTTAGCATCCATGAGTGGTCGTCCTCTTGTTTTCAGATATCTCTGGACAGAGATAAGGCATTTCCCTTAATACTTGATAGATAGGGGTATTAGTCAATATTCTGTGATGGAAATCAATTTCATTTAACGAAAGAATATAATTTCATGAGTTTCTACTTGCTACATTGTTCAACCTAAACATTTGCTTGGTTTTGATTGAATTCTAAAAGGCCACATTATTCCTTGTCAAAAAAGGCCATATTATTGAAATGAAACATGACCTTCATCCATGTTGGGGTTTGATTAAGCTCCTTTTTTTTTCCCATGTTCGTTTTTATTTCTAAATTCAATGATTTTAAGAGCTTTGATGGTGCCTAACAACTAGAAATTAAATTCTCTGTGAAGAAGTATTGTCAACAATAACTAACCACAGAACCGCAGCCCAAGTGTCCTATTATTTTTTTTTTCTCCTTATCTGTTCCATGATTAGATGATAATCCAATGAAAAGTCCACTCGGCCACCTATAATATGCACCTGCTCTCCTGCCCTGCATGCTGAAATTGTGTTAGAGATTGGTGGATGTATTATTTAATTTAATATCGGGCCCTGGAAATTCTCTATCACCCTCAAAATTAGTTATTTAGACAAATTCAACACAAATCATACTATGGTCAGCCTTGACATTTGACAAGTCCATATTCTCCACCTTATAAAATAGGAAAACCATATAATAAAATAATTAGTTTTTCTGAACCTTGTGTTCTG